CAGGAGTGCTGATGCCCCCACGGTTCAGGGGGCTGCAGACAGACTGATAGAGCTGAGAGAAGAGCCAGTGGCAGAGCCACAGTTTCTGTACACATGGGGAAACTGAGGCCCGGAGTGGCCGAGGCAGGAGCTAGTGCAGGTGTTTGGCTCGCCCTGCCACAGCCAGGAGGACCGTGCCAGGAGCTGACTGCGGCTGGGTACCAGCTGCAGCCCAGAGGGAGTAGAGGCGTAGCCAGCTCTGAGCCCGTGGCCCCCACGGAACTCGCTGTGGCCTTTCAGGAAACTTCTGCCTGCTCCTGCTTCCTGTCCGGCACCAAGCTCTGCTCTGCTCCCCAGCCCCCTGAAGGAACTCAGCAGGACTCTGTCCCAGCCTGGATGGATCCCAGGCTTTGCTGACTGGGGGCCACCCGCACGTGTGGGAGGGTCTGCATTTCAAATGTTGATGCTATGTATATATTATCATGGGAATTAGAAAAAACATATACTTACTACATCACACCCTTGATTGCACAGATCAGATTGCTTTTACATGAGGCTGAGTGAAAGGCAAGTGATTGGTGTAAAGTGATTTAAATAAAGAGACATAGATAAGCATGGTGGAACCTGGTTGCCAAGAACTGAAGTCAGGCGCACTGGAGGAGGGCCTGTGTCAGGTCAGAGGTCGGAGGGCCAGGTGCTGAGGTCAGGCAAGGCAGAGACGGGGGAGGGTTGGGCAATCCCTGGCCTGCAGGCTGCCACTGCCCTGTGCCAGGCCTCGGTCCCTCCATCAGGCCTTCCTGTCCCCAGCCCTGCAGTGGATCAGGAATTGGCCACAAGAGAGGAGTCAGGTGCCCTCCTGGGTGTGCTTTAGATGACACTGCTACAGGGAACCAGGGGTTGGACTGTGCCTCCCCTGCACCCAGGGGCTGGGTTCAGGTTGAGTCACTTCCCAGGGACTCCCTGGCATTGGTCTGAGATCCCGACCGACCCTCTGCCCATTCTCTGGTTCTCAGGTGAAGGGAGAATGGACGGCTTTGGTAAAGGCCAGGTGCCGTTGTCTGGGTGGCCGAGAGTTCAGGGTCAGGGCTGGAATCCTGGCCGCCTCCCAGGCCTGGCAGCCCCTGCCTGCAGCCCCCGTCTCCGGGCATGTTTGTGCTGCAGGGATTCCAAGAGCCATGAGCCGAGGGCCCCTGGGAGAAGCCACAGGCGGTGGGGAGCTCGGCCCTCTGAGGCCCCCAGCCGCCGCCACCGAGTCTGTGTGCGATCTCCTGCTGTCCGGCTGTTTTATCACCCTGGACACAATCGGGGGAAGCCTGCAAGGCCGGCAGGCAGAGGGAAAACAAAGGCACTGCTCCGAGAAGGCCAAAAGGCACCTGCTCCTCCTGCAGCCGCCTGGCCGGCTCGTTCTACCACGAGGCCGCAGGCCACCTGCCCCCGCCCCCTCCCCCCAAGAAGCTCTCCTGTGGGGTCACTGCTGCCCAGGCGACCATCAGGAAGCCACTTCTCTCTAGGCCGCCTTTTCATGAATGTAACATGAGAGAGCTGGACGACACCCCCTACTGGGGTCTCGGGGGCTCCCCCCTCCCCGGCCAGCACTAGAAAATAGAGGTTGTGCCGTCTCAGACCACACAGGGGACCCCATTTATTCTGGGATTAGGGTGCAGGGGGCCCAGTGCCCTTGTGTGGGATGGGTAAGTGGCTGTCACTCCCCTGCACTTCCCACCAACCGCTGAGATGCAGAAGAGAGCTGGCCATGGTAGCAGTGCCAGGCTGTCTGGGCCCATGTCCTAGCTGTGTGACCTTGGCTGTGTTTCCTCATCTGTTAAAATGGGTACAGCACTTACCTCATAGGTTGTGGTGGGATGCATGAATCAGTCCTCAGCAAGGCCTTAGAACAGCGTAGCTGCCAGTCCTTTAATGCTGGATTTATGGTCATCATCAGCTTCTTGCCTATTGTCATTAGAGAGCACACACTGGCCGTTCCTGAAGTTTCACTTCCGGGCCCCTGTCCTGTCCTGCTTGGCTCCAGGACGGGCTGGGGGCTGCAGGCGGGGAGGAGCAGCGGAGTGCGGCCAGGAGCAGTCCTGCACCAGCACGTCGGGGAAGTCATTCAATAAGGCCCCGTGAGAAAGGGGCCTGCCCCTCAAGCCTCTAGGAGTTCCTTGCGATTTTGTCACTGGTTCTAAGTGGGACTTCGTGATTCGGGGTGTATTTTTTCAAATGGTGTAGATTTTAGGCCTGGCAATCCCCAGTGACTCCTGGTTTCTGTCACGTGACTGCAGCCTGTGGCCCAGCCCTGTACTGCTCACCTGGCCGAACCCAGCAGGGCCTGGGGCCGGGCCTCAGTGGTGAGGGTGGGGGTCTGACTTTATCTGTAGACAGTTGCGTGACCTGCAGGCTCGCCCCTGAGCTGTGGGCGGCCTCTCACCCCAGACTGAGGGATCCCTGAGGAGGACAGGGAGGGTGAGATGATGGGGAAGGGTCTCCTGGAGGAAAATCTTGGGTATGCATGGGGCACAGAGGCCTGGTGCCCACCCCATGCTGCCCCCCATGCCCTGGGGGTGGGCAAGCACCCCAGGAAGCTGACTGCTGAGTGGGACAGTCGCTCTGTGGCCATGGTTGGAGTGTCTGGTCAAGGGCCAAGCCCAGGGCAGTCCCTCTATCTGGAAGGGAACAGTGGGCAGGGAAGGTGGCATCAGGGCCCTGTCACATCAGGCATGTCAGAGAGAGCAGGCGACAGAGCCCAGAGGTTGTGGGGGCCTGCGGGAGGACGGGCCCTAGGCGGTGGACCCTGGGCGCCTCCCTCAGCAGCGGGGCCTCTCAGCTCCAGCCCCGACAGGGACATTTATAACTCACAGCTGTGCGGTCCTGGGCCCAACTGACTGTGGTAAACCGATCTGGCTGCAGGAAGTCCTGTCCCGAGGCCACTCCCCACCCCGACCCCCACACTCTCCTTCACCTCCTGACACCCACATCCTGTTCTCTGCGGGAGGGGGCAGCCTGCAAGGGGGGCCAGGTCCTGCCCGGCCTGGATCTGCAACCTGTGGGCCATGAGGCCGTGGCCTGCCCCCAGCACACACACACACACACACGGAGACTGAGACCCCCGGGGGCCCTCGGGAGCAGCTGCTGGGACTGAGTTCTGCACGCTCAGCCCTGATGGCACAGAGGGGCTCTCCTGGCCGTCGCTCCTTGGGGAACTTGATGGAAGGGGCAGGGCTGACCCAGAGCCCTCGGGCACTGCCTGGATCCAGGCCTCTTCATGGTCATCTGTCCTCCGGAGGCCTGTGTCCATCACAGCCAAGTTCAAGTGTGGGATGGGACATGGCCAGGCCCAGGGCTGGAAAGGGTTCAGTGCTGAAAGGGCCCAGCACACCAAGGCTCAAACTCCTGAGTGTGCAGCCACCCTCACCCCCACCCCCTGTGCCCCTCTTGCTTCTCTGTGTGTTGTCCGCCCAAGCTGGGTGTCTATGACCAGGCTGTGGAGTGACACACTACTCAGGACAGATACTTTTTTCATTAATTATATATTTATTTGTTTTAAAGGTTTATTTATTCATTTGAAAGGCAGAGTTATAGAGAGAAAGAGAGATAGGGAGAGAGATCTTCCATCCACTGGTTCACTCCCCAAATGACCCTAATGGCGGAGCCAGGAGCCTGCAACTCCATCCAGGACTCCCACATGGGTGCAGGGGCCATGCACTTGGGCCATCTTCCACTGCTTTCCCAGGCACATTAGCAGGGAGCTGGATTGGAAGTGGAGCAGCCAGGCTCATATGGGATGCTGGCATTTCAGGCAGGAGCTTAACTCAGGGAGCCGCAATGCCAACTCCTAGCTATATATTTATCATGGTGCATTAGAAATAGATAGCCTGTGGGGGCCGGCGTTGTGGCACAGCGGGTTAACGCCCTGGCCTGAAGTGCAGGCATCCCATATGGGCACTGGTTCGAGACCCAGCTGCTCCACTTCTGATCCAGCTCTCTACTATGGCCTGGGAAAGCAGTGGAAGATGGCCCAAATCCTTGGACCCCTGCATCCGCTTGGGGGACCCGGAAGAAGCTCCTGGCTCCTGGCTTCGGATTGGCACAGCTCCGGCCATTGTGGCCAATTGGGGCCAACTGTAACTTTGACTTTCAAATAAATAAATAAAATAATTTAAAAAAAGAAATAGATAGCCTGTGATAGCTTTGGACAAGGCCAGATTAATTGGGGCTAACAAAAAAAAAATAGAGGGATTTAAAGTAAAGGTGAATTTCAGTGACATCATTCTCCAGGTTGGACTCAGCTCCAACCAAAAATCCTGAGGGCCTGGGAGAAGGCCTGAAGTTTGAGAACACAGATGAAGCCACCAGGGCCCTGTCTGCTCTCAGCTCTGTTTCTGAGCTTCCTCCTTCCAGCTGAGACTAAGCAGCCCGCACTAAACTCTGGCCGGCGGGCGAGGCAGGGCTGAGCCAGTTTTCCCTCGGTGGTCTGCACACACGTAAAATGGCTCCACGTGTTGGACACAGCTCTGGCAAGCAATTCAGATGGAGGGGAGAATCAGGCAGGGGTCACCGAGTGACTCTGGAGGTGACTGCAGGCCGGCTGTGTGAGATAATTCCCCGAAGCCAGGCACCATTCGAGGGCACACCAGAAAGAGCTTCGTATGCCAGGCTAAAAATACCCCCCGACAGCCTCTCCCTGTCGCCCTGCCTGGGGGCTGCCCAGGGAGCCGTGGCTTTCTGCTTTTCTCACCAAGAACGGAAAGACAACACGAAGCCCCCAAGCTGCAGAAGAAGCCAAACTTAGATCTTAAAAAAAAAAAAAAAAATCCCTCTAGGAGGAGTTGGCTCGCTTGTTGGAGTGTGGCTGGGCGGGGAAGAAGCAGCCAGCTCTGATAAATCAGGCATCTCTGGCCTGCTTAAGTGGCCTGAGAGTCCACTGAGATTGGCCCAGTGGCGGGACAGAGGTGGGAGGGAGTGGCTGGCTGGCTGTGTCCCTGGCTGCTCACGTGTGTCCCGTCTGTCCCCTGTGTGCCCAGGAGGAAGAGGAGGAGGCCTGGTGACATCAGACTAATGCTGCAAGGGGTGTGAGGAGAGGAGCTGCCATCAGTCACTGAGCTGCCAGACCCGGAAAGGTAACGCCAGGCCCCCAACCCCCAACCCGTGCCCTGGTGGCCAGGCTGTGTTGTGCAAAACCTGGACAGGACAGAGGCGGGCGAGTGGATCATGCTGGGGCTGGACCAGAGCTGAGGGTTGTCACCCCTCTGCCCATCTCAGCTGATGCAGCTGTCGGGCCCTCCTCACATGGTGTCCGTGTCACCTGAGTGCTTCTGGACATCAGTTTGTCTGTCTGAAATGGGCGCTCGCCCCAGGCCTCCACTTTCTCCAGTTCTCAAAGACTCAGTGAATCCGTCGGGTCTGATTGTTGTTTGGGATTAAGCCATGTTAGCAGCCTGGCTCAGCTTGACTTCTGGGGGTGAAGCCAGGCGACCCAACCCTTGTGGGTGCAGCATGATAAGGCCCACAGGTCAGCAGGACCAGGCAGGGCTTGGGAAGAAGGGATTTTCTGGGGTGGATGGCACTGGAGCTGTGGCTCTGCTCTCCCTGGCAGCTCTGGGCAGGAATCTTCATCTGTGTTCTCGGGCCAGGAAATCAAGGCCTGGGAGACGAACGCACCCACCAGTCTCCCCCAGCGAGCTCAGAGCAGCTGTGCTGGGTCCAGCTGGCCTGCCAGCGTCCACACGTGGCTGCATCGCACTGGCCTCACCCAGCTTCCCCCGACAGGGTCTGCTGTTGCTCCCATGCAGCCCCGTTCTTGATTGGGTGCCTGTGGCGGGACCCACCCTTCCTCCCACCCATCGTCCATCCACTCACCCGACCGTCTCTCTACCCACCCACCTTCTGTCTGTTCATGCACTCACTCACTGAGCCACCCTTTCTGTAACCCCACAGGCTCACCCATGCGTCATCTACCCATGGGTCATCTGTCCATCCGTCCACCCATTCACCTAACCAGCGTTCCCTCACGGAGCCCATGTCCAACACTCACTGAGTCTTGCAGCAGGCCAGGCCTGCACTAAGGGCTGGTTTTGAAGATGGAGCAGACCCAGGCTTCTGCTGGGAGGGCAGCTGGCGTGAGGGAGGCCGATGCCGGGTCCTGTACTCCCTTCCATAAGACCTGTGCTCAAGGCCTGTGTGGCGTCTGCACAGGCTGCAGGGAGGGGCCGTGTGCTGATTCTGCAGGCAATTGTTCAAGAAAGAGGAAGGGGCCTTGTTCGTTTGTTCATTCCCCAACCGTTGACTGAGAGAATCCCCGTGGCAGGAGCTCTCGAGCTGGGATACCCAGGAAGGGATCAGACAGACCAGACTCCCTGCCCGCGTGCTGCTGACGTCCTCATGAGGAGACAACAACCAACACACAGAAAATGAACGTGCAGTAGTCAGCTGACGCCACGTTCTCAGAGGAGGAACCCAGGTGTTCATGGACAGGGGTGGCCAAGGAGGGCTTCTGCAGGTGGCATTTGACCTCATCCCTGAACGCACTGTGTGTGGGAGAGGGCAGAGAAGCACTCAAGTTCACAGAAGCAGCAGGGGCCTTGGGGCTGCTGGGAGGCCAGGGCAGGAGGTGAAGTCAGAGATGGCTGGCCAGCTGGTGTCCGGTCCAGGTAGAGGTGCTGGGGGCTTGGATGGGGGTTGGCAGCAAAGAAGCGAGAAGCCGTGGAGTTTAAGTGTGTTCTGGAGACCTGGCAGACAGACTTGCTGGTGGAATGGAAGTGGAGCATAAAGAAGAGTGGGCACGGTCGAGGAAGGCTCTTGGGTTCGGGACAGGAGCCAGGAGGGACTGGGGCGCCAGGGGGAATGGCCAGGGAGAGCTGCTTTGACGCGTGGAGCTCGGGACGCCTTTGAGACATGCAGGTGGAGAGGCTGAGCAGGCGGCCGGATGGATGTGTCTGGAAGGCAGAGAGAAGTCCTGGCTGGAGGCATCAGTCTGGGAGATGTCGCACACGGATGGTGCGGCAAGCCCAAAGCTGATGAAGTCACTTCGGGAGTGGACACAGAGGGTCAGAAGCCGGGCTCTGAGTCACGGTGCATCCAGGCCTCAGTGGGAGGGCCACTGACGAGGGGGCAATGAAGGACGTGCGGGAGCAGAACAGCGTGTGCTGGCTCTGAGTGACCAGGAAGGTGATGCCGGGGTGAAGTGGGGAAGGACACTGTGGGCAGAGGGAACAACACACACAGAGGCTCAGAGGCTCCATAAACGGGGCATGGGAGGGAGGGAGGAGGGAGCAGAGTGTCCTCCTCCCACCCCCGGCCACACAGGAGCAGGGCCTGCGGGTGTCCAGCCAGGCTGTGGGTGAGCCCGGGTCCCAGCCTCCCTGTTGCCTCCCAGCCCCAGCTGAGCCTCTCGCCATGAAATTTGCTCACTCTTACCCTTTCTTTGGAGAAGTTCCTCCTGGCTTTTCTGACTCTGTCCTTCCCTCTGGGGCTCCAGGGCCCAAGGGACTTCCACTTGCCTGGGGCGCTTGTCTCAGGGTGGTGGCCTGTCGGGGAAGGGCCCCAGGCAGCTCCCTATCCAGTTCCTAAGTGCACCGTGTGGGTCCCTGGTCCCTTCAGTGGCTGTGTCAGAGCTGCCCACCCAGCAGGTGGAGGAGCGCTCAGCCTCTGGCAGGGAACTATGTGTGTGTGTGTGTGTGTGTGTGAGAGTGTGCAGGTGTGTGTGTATGTGTATGAGTGTATGAGATTCTATTTCCCACTCTGCCTCTTCCTTCACTCCATCTCTGTCTTAGTCCTTCCATCCATCCGTCTCCCTTAGTCTTCTGAGCAGCTTCCGCTCTGGGCCGAGAGGCAGGCTGGGCGGGACACTGCTGGGCAGGTGTGCCCCCGAGCCTGCTCCCTGCCTTAGCTCCCGGGCATACCCCTTTCCTGTCCAGCAGCTCAGTCTGGGCTGCAGCTGCAGCTCTGTCACCCCCAGCAGACTGAACTGGGACCTGCAGCTGCCCTGTGCTGGCAAGGCACAGGCTAGGGCCCCCAGACGCTCGGGGACTGCTGAGCTGTCGCCCTCCTCTGAGATCTGACCCTGACCTCCTCCCCCCTCCCTCAGGAACACAGATGCTGGGTGCCATCACGTCCTTGCCCTGGGCCCAGACCCCGCTCCAGGGCCTCCTCCCCAGGAAGACTTTTTGAGCAGTTGGGCACCAGCCAGCCTTTGCTAAGCACCTGCATTGTGCTAAGGGCAGGGCTCAGAGCAGGATGTCCAGAGATGACGACAGAGAGGGGGTCCCCGGGATTCATGAACTGGCAGTCCAGTGGGGTGGTGGGGACTGGGAAAGAAACAGAAACTTGTAGTGTAGCAGGGAATGCTGTTGGCACCCCGCCACGGTGCGGGAGCCACCTGGGCTACTGTGCAGGCAAAGGCTCCGGAGACTTCCCTACACAGAGAAGTGGGTAGAGCCCCCTGGGGACGTGGTGAGCCCCTTCCCCAGGGCAGAGTTAGGAGAGGGGGCCCCTCTGGCTGTGCACGGGGGACCAGGGGAGCCTGCGGAAGCCACTCCTGTGGTGCATGGCTCTGTGACAGGCCTGTGGCAGGAGCCACGGGTAATCTAATTAGAGTGCCAGCTGGATGCACAGGTAATCCCATGCCTTCAGGCTCACTTCCCTCTAAGCCTCTCTCCACTGTCCTCTCCCTAAATCCTGCCACTGCCTCGGTCACGACCGGCTGGCCAGACTGATCTCCACGAACAGACAGGTAAACCAGGGCTAGATGGGAACAAGCTTGCGTGTTGGCACCGCTGAGAGGAGCTTTGAGCCAGGCCTGCCGCCTCCCTCCCCTCTCTCCAGGCTGTCCTAGCATTGTCCACACTTGCAAACCGCCTCTGTGTAGGTGAGAGTCCCAGAGAAGGTAAGACACTCACCCCAAGCCACACAGCAAGTCACAGGCGGAAGTGGCACCATCTGGTCCTTCAGCGCCGCACCCTCCCCCCACCAGCAGGTGCAGGAGTCCCGCCCCTCGCTCCGCCCACTTCCGCGTGGAGCTCCCAGGGCACTGGGTCCTGGCTCAGCACGCCGGCTCTGGGTGAAGGCACCCAGCTCCGCGTGAGGAGGCTCCATTGTGCCTATTGTTTAAATATAGATTACTAATGAAATGCCTTTTCATTGCCTTGCCAGTGAATAGTTTCCGTGTAAAGTTAATTTGCAGTGTTATGTAAATTCTGTTTAACTTCAATCAAGTTTCTAATTATGTTTTTACCGCAGTAATTCCCATTTGATTTGTCATCTCCTGTTAGGTATTTAATGTTCGGTGGGCGGGTTCGCCTTCCCTCTGTCTCTCTCGGTTTTCCAAGGCCGCCTCCCTCCCTGCCGCCCCCTGCCTGGCTGTCTCTCTGCCTGCTCCCCGCTTGTCTGTGGCTCCGCCCACCCACCCCTCCATCTTCTGCCCTCTCCCCCTTGCCATCCTTCTGCCTCGCGTCTCCTTCTGACATGGTGTCTCCCTCCAGCACCACCTCCCCCTCCCCTTCTCCTCTTCCTCTCCTGATCTTTCTGGGTCCTGCTGCACCTCCTGGCCCCCCTCTGGAGTTCTCTCCCCTCATTAGTGCCCCCCAGAGTCCTCCCCTCCCCGAGTTTCCTTCCTCCTCCATCCCTTCAGCCCCCACTTCCTCATTCTCCACCTGTCCACCCGAGAGCTGGCATAGAGCTCAGAGCATAGCGGGCTGCTTCCTGGGGCTGGCTGAAATGGGTCAGGGGCCTGGGGCCCCAGGAGAGACCAAGGCCTGGCCCCACAGCTGGGGGAGCAGCCCATGGGACGGCAGGATGGTGGAGTTCCAGCAGAAGATGCGGACTCTGGAGTTGCGTTGGGTGGGTTCAGATCCTGACCGCGGCCCTTACTAGCTGCCACCCTCAGGTTGTGCCTGTGCCTGTGTCAGAGCCTGGAGCCGGTCAGTGGGCTGCTGTCGCCACTGCCCCCAAGGGAGGACTCACTCCCTCTGGGGATCTTGGCCGCGCCTCCCCCGTCCTTGTGGCCTTTCTTGGTGCACACAGGGGCCCCAGCCTCCTCACCGGGCTTTGAAGTGCTCCCTGCCCTCAGGGAGCCAGGGAGCGGCCAGGGGGCCAGTTTCCTGGTGGACATCTGCCCTCTGAG